GGGAGGCGGCGGTGCGGGCCCTGCTGCTGCTCGCCGCCGGGTGAGGGCGAGCGGGGCGGCCCCGGGACTCGCCCGGCCCCGGGGGCTACGGGCCAGCCCCCCCCCTACAGCCACAGCCCCCACCGGGTGCCACGGGAGGGGCCGAGCGCCCCGAATGGGAGGGCGCCTTCTGCCCCAAATGGGGTTATTTAATTATATCTTTTTTTAACCCTTTTTCCCCCTCTCTCCCCAGGGCCATGGAGTTCCTGCCGCCGTTCCAGCGCCTGGTGCAGCCCGAGGAGCTGTGGCTCTACAAACAGCCCTACCGGGAGGCGGATCGCGTCCCCGCCCTGCCCATGGTCGTAAGTGCCCCCGCTCCCGGATTCACCGGGGCTTTTCTCCGGTTACAAACTCTCATTTTCGGCCAAAACCCACCGGCTGAAAGCCTGATACTGCCAATACCTGCGGTTCTTAACGCACTAGTGAAGGCACGAGGTATTATTCCCGGCCCCGGGGGCTACGGGCCAGCCCCCCCCCTACAGCCACAGCCCCCACCGGGTGCCACGGGAGGGGCCGAGCGCCCCGAATGGGAGGGCGCCTTCTGCCCCAAATGGGGTTATTTAATTATATCTTTTTTTAACCCTTTTTCCCCCTCTCTCCCCAGGGCCATGGAGTTCCTGCCGCCGTTCCAGCGCCTGGTGCAGCCCGAGGAGCTGTGGCTCTACAAACAGCCCTACCGGGAGGCGGATCGCGTCCCCGCCCTGCCCATGGTCGTAAGTGCCCCCGCTCCCGGATTCACCGGGGCTTTTCTCCGGTTACAAACTCTCATTTTCGGCCAAAACCCACCGGCTGAAAGCCTGATACTGCCAATACCTGCGGTTCTTAACGCACTAGTGAAGGCACGAGGTATTATTGCAAATAAGACAGCGTTTACAGTCCATTTTTGTCGGCTTTTTTAGGCTTTGCCATCCAGGGTTGCGTTTGAGGCTTTATCAAAGTTTGTTAAAACCAGTGGGAGCCTCTGGCTGCTGTTCAGTCAGTTTCAGGTCGGTTTCAGGGTGGCCGTGGTGGGGGCTGCAGCCTGGCTGGCACCGCAGGGAGCGGTTTGCTTCAAAGCAGGGATTTTCAGCAAATCTTTAGTATGATTTGATTATCAGAATGTTTTCGCTGGGTCTCTAGGACGTGTTATAAGAGTAAATACTGGATTTCAGGAGGGTGATGCTCTGCTCACAGGGGTGTCTGTGGCCCCCGAGCAGGGGGTGTCTGGGACCTGCAGCTCCTGCCTTGGGCAACCACCCTCCTTCCTGGCCAACCCCACTGGTGATTTTCTGTGAGATTTGGGCACGGGGCTTTTCAACTTTAAAAGCCCCAGGGTGGTGTTTGGGTTTGGTGGTGGCAGCAGGACGCGTGCTGGACTTGCAGGGGTCAGCAGCCTCCTCCAGGAGCCGCCCCAGGGTGGTGTTTGGGTTTGGTGGTGGCAGCAGGACGCGTGCCAGACTTGCAGGGGACAGCAGCTTCCTCGGGAGCCTGTCAGACTGTCAGACCCACCATGGACCCCCCCGGGGGGGAAATCCCACAGCCGGGATTGCTGCTGAGATGTTGGAAGGAGAACCCCTTCTCTCTGAATCAGCGGCTCCCGTGGGTTTTGCTGACGAGGGGCAAAGAGCTGACAAAGAGCTGATCCCTGTAGGGCTGGGGACAGCGAGGTGCTGTGAGGGGACACCCACAAGCGGGAGGGGAGGGACAGGGAGCCGGCCCCGGCAGCGCTCTGCTGCCAGAGATGCTGTTTGAGAGGCTGAGGATGGGCTGGGTGTCTCTCAGAGGAGGGAAGGCTCCGCTGAGCCTGCGAAGAACGGGCAGGAGTGGGGTGCAGAGGGGGCTTTTTAGTGCTCTGCCTTATTTATGCTGCCTGGGGGCTTTGTTTTATGCTTCTACAGGCAACATCCAGCAGCCCAGGGTTTTCTACGTGAGGGGCTGCTGTTGGGTGTCAGACGGGGGGAAGAGCCGTGCTCTGGGGAGCTCAGGGGTGGTCGGGGTTTGCTGCAAACACAGCTGGGGTGGGATTTGTTCCTGGGAGAAGCGTGGTGTTTGGAGAGGACAGGTCGCTGCCTGGCTTTGGGGCAGGAAAGTGCAGAGTCTCTTTGAGCAACTGGGATTGTGCTCTGGGCAGAGCTCACCCCCGCCGCGCTGACAGACCCCCAGCAGCCCTCTTGTCTCCTGCAGTTCATCGCCTTCCTGTCCCCCCTGCTGCTCATCGTCCTGGCGAGGGTGTTCATGGATGCTGACCGAGAAGACACGCGGGAGGCCTGCCTCGGTGAGCTCCTCCTCACCCCGCGGAGCCAGAGCCCCCCGTGGGGTCTGCCCTGGGGGGGTCTCACACACGAGTCCTTGGCTCTTGTGCCGGGGGTCCCAGGCCTGAGCTGCGTGCCTCCAGCTGAAGACTGAGCGCTGCCCGAACGTGCCTTGAAGCTCCACGTTGAGGCAGGGACGGGGCTGACGTGGCCTCTCTGCTCTCTCCTAGCTGCCAGCCTTGCCCTCGCCCTCAACGGGGTCTTTACCAACGCCCTGAAGCTCGCCGTGGGGAGGTGAGAAGGTGGCTCACTGCGGGGAGGGGGGACATGTCTGCGCCGTGGCAGAGCTGCAACAGCAGCAGCAAAGGCCAGGAGCTGTTGGATGTGCTCAGCCTGAAGGGAACGTGTTTTTTCTGGCTGTAAAGGCAATTAGAACAAACGCTGGCAGGGACCTGCTGTCTCGGGGCATCGTTTCGATGGGCTCGCCCAGGCCTGTGCTGGGGAGGAGCACTTTGGCAGCAGAGAGGGAGCGGGTGGGATGGTTTCACCTCCCCAGGCTGCATCGTTGGGGTGGCAGAATGTTCCTGTGCTGAGCTGCAGCCAGAGGGGTCTGCTGGTGGCTGGTGACTCGGCCGGCGGTGCTCGGTGTGAGGGCTGGTAGCTTGGGTGGCTCCTGGGAGCCCCAGGGCTACGTGCCTTGTTCTCCTGCCCCAGGCCACGGCCGGACTTCTTCTCTCGCTGCTTCCCCGACGGACGAGCCAACGTGGAGCTGGCCTGCACAGGAGACCCCGGGGTGGTGGCTGAGGGGCGCAAAAGCTTCCCCAGCGGACACGCTTCCTGTGAGTTCCCCGTGTCCCCCTCCCCCTGCAGCCCCAGCCAGCAAGCCGTGGGGAGCAGAAACCCGTGGGGAGGGCAGCTTGGGCTTGCTTTCACACACCCCATGGCTTTGGCCACATCCTTTGGCCTCTTTGGGGGCCTCAGCTTTCCCTCTGCGAAGCAATGGGGAGATAAATGTCATGCGAAGCTTCTGTAGCTCCTGGGAGGAGGGATGCTCACCAGGTACCAGCATCTATGGCTCCTCCATCACTCATGAGCTGGTGCTTCCCTTGTCTCACATGGGCAGCACCTTCTACCGCAGCCGGGGAGAGGCTGGAACAGTTTCTGAAGGGAAACAATTCTCTTCTAGTTGCCTTTGCTGGTCTTGGCTTCTCTGCCTTCTACGTCGCGGGGAAGCTGCGCTGCTTCACCGCTGGCCGGGGGAGCCGGGCTCTGCGCCTCTGTGCCTTCCTCCTCCCACTCTTCCTCGCCACCCTCATCGCCGTGTCCCGCACCTGCGACTACAAACACCACTGGGAAGGTGGGTCAGGGTCTGCACCTGGATGGGGGCACTCGGTGCCGGGGGGAATCCGTGCTGCTGCAGAGGTGGCACCTTAGGGTTTTTGGATCGCTCCTCCTGGGGTAATTACGCTGCTGCCTGCACGGAGATGGTGCCTGTCTCTTTCTTTTGGGAATCTACACCGAGCTCGGATGGGGGGCTGTTTTTGGAGCAGCTCAGCTCTGCACTGAGAGGCTGCCTGCTGGAGAATTCCTGCTGGAGAACTCCGTGGTGAAGCTTGGGCAGATAAAAGGAAATGAACTCTCCTCTGCTCTTGCTCGCAGATGTGCTGGTTGGCTCCGCCATGGGCTTCGTGCTCGCCTACCTCTGCTACAGGCAGTATTACCCTCCTCTGGTGGACTCCCTGTGCCACAAACCGCTTCTGTACAAATGCAGACAAGCACCAGAGCACCAAGAGAAGGTGGCAGCTCCTGGTTTTCCCCTGGAGATATAGCCATGGGCTCCGTCCTGCCGGCACCTCTCCTGCTGCTCCCCCAGGGCTCGGGCAGGGGAAGGCTCTGGGGAGGTCAAAGTGGCTCAAAGGAGGATGAACCCGAAACCCAAGCGGGCGTTCTCTGCAGAGCTGGTGAGTTTTCCTGCTCAGGGGCCCGTGTTGCTTCATTTAACCCGATTTTGGTGGCCTCCCTCCCTTCGGGGCCGCTGTGAAGCAAAGGAGGCGCTGGGCGTGGGAGGACAGCCCGGGAAGGAGAGGTGCTGAAGCAAGAACTGGAAAATTGGGACAATGTGGAGTGCCCCGTCCCATGGGTCGTCTCGTGTCCGAGCCAGAAAGAGCCATCGGTCCCCTCCCTCCCTTCGTCCCAGCCGAGCTCTCCCATCCCCTCCCTCCTGGGGGGAAACCTGTGTCCAAACAAACTGCAGGATCCGTTCCTGGCGCCGGGTTTCAGTCTTTTCAATCACAGCTGAGCTAATTTGGAGTAACGAGCGCGAGGTCGTGGTCTTTAACCAAGGATTAAGTGGGGGAGAGGGAAGATGAAACTAAATCGTTATTGGTGTTATTGTGCTAGCCTTGATTTATGGTTTTTTCCTAACTTGCCCAATAAAGGAGTTTAATTTTTTTTTAACGAGCTGTGGTACTCGAAGCTTTACGTCATGGCCTGGGTTCATGCTGTTCGTGCTGTATAAACCGATGCCTTTGGTGTGTCCGTGGGGGTTTCCAGGTGGGCGTTTATTTTGTGTCTCTTCCCTTCCAGCTTTAATGTGGGTGTAAAGAGGTGACAATCGGCAGAAAATGCTGTGGTGTCTGGGAGCAGCCCTTGGAGCAGCCCTTGGAGCATCCCTTCATGGGGGCTTGTTTCCCTGCTCCGTGCTTTGTTTTCTCAGACAACGGGAGGCTGAGAACTGCCCCCGGGGTGGCAGGGCTGTTGTAAGTAGTTATTTGTCACTCATCTCCACCATAAATATGTGTATTATTATTGTGTACACACAGAGGTGAGGCTGTAGCAGAGCTCAGGACACAACAGTAATGAAAACGCCACCCCATCACCTTCAGTCTGGGCCACCTGTGTGACCCTGCAACTTCAACAGGAGTTACAGAAATAGCTTTAATTTCCCCTAAAATAGCACACCTGTGAACTCTTCAGCTGCATCCCCTCCCTCCCCCCCGAACAGGCACACACCGCAGTCATCTACTTGTTTATTTTGGCTTTTACTGGAAAAGACATTAAATAACATTTAAAATTTATTTAACCTTTTTTCTCTTTTTTTTTTTTTAACAAAGTGAATAACTTAAAGAGCTGATCATTAGAGCGTCCCGCTTTAAGACTCTTCCTTTTCCTACT